ATACGGAAACTGCGGTCGACTGCGGGTTAGGTCTGGCAGTGGATGACTGGTTGGGACCGGAATGCTGTGGCGGACGGACACTAACACTGGGCGTCGGGTAGGGATTGATACCTTTGGCCAGACTGTCAACGATATGGTCGCAGTCGGCGCCCATCGGTAGCCGACCGGACAGACCGTTGCAAAAGCTATCACTCAATGGATGTCCTTTTTTGTTGATGCAAATGGATTTCAGCGGTTTATCACTGATGTCTGGTTTGCCCTCATCTTTACGACAATGTTTGTGAACCTAACCATACATTCACCCAATGGTTGTGTTAATACATATTAAAGCATACATTTATACAATGAATAGCATATATGGACAGAACATACCAGTGTCTTAACCCTCGTAATCAAAGCAACACGATTTGGCCGACCAGTTGCGGAGATCGTCCCTGGTCAGATTTAACTTTTTCAAATTATGTCCAAATTTGAAAATATTTTCAGAATAATATTCCTCTTATCCATACCTTTCTATCAATATATAACATTGATAAGCAACAGTCACAAATGTACTATAATCAATTTTACCTAACACTGGCCGTAGTGACCACTTTTATCGGCAAAATTTTTAAAATCAAATCTTTTAATTTATGAATAATTATATCATATTATATATCGATGTTGTAATCTTATATTTAGTTTTAATGCAATTTTCTGTATTATCCTCAATATTATTAATATATTTTATAAATTCATTAAATATTAAATTATGGGAAACCGAAATTTAAAATTATGATTTTTTCCAACACTAATGTGACTCCAAACATACCAGGCAGAGAGAGAGCCGGTAATGAATGTCTAAGAGATTGAGATAAAAAGTAGTGTTAGAATGTGATTGGATTGTGTGAAGGGATCAAAAAGTAGCTGAAAGTTAACTTATTATGACTTTGAAAATGAGTGCCGAATAGAAAACATGCCAAAAGCAAAGACTAGTTTATATTAATTGCTTTTGATAGAGAAATATGAGCGCAAATATTATTTGATTTATTGCCGGTTACCGCTCTGTTGCATGAGGTCTGGGTATTGATGAACGACCACTTCTGGCTCTGACTGAACGACCATTATTTTGGACTCTCCATCGCTGTTACGGCTCAAAAAGACGGACATCGAGGAGCGCTCGATCACAACGGGTCCTGAGCCCCGATTGGCCAGCGATGCGAACAGCGATTTAAACATATTAATGGGTGACAGAAACATTTGATCGCTATTATCGGCGTCGCTATCGTTGATGGAATCGCCGATCGCTTGGTTGTCATCGTTGGCAACGGATTGCACTTTTGGTCTAATGTCGTGGCCGTTGAGGGCATCGGCACCAACGGTAGTGACAGTATTGTTGCAACCGATAGTACACGCGAAGTATTCGCTTGAATTATGTTTCACATCATAGGCTGACGAACACGCTATCGGAAGACAGGGAAGAAGTAAAACATACGTTAATACACTATACAATCGCTTTAATCCATTTGTTTGCAGTAAAAAACAATAAAAATATAATGTTCTCTAAAAGCTCCTAAAAAAGTGATATTTTTGCTCTTTTTGTGTTAAAAACGAAGATTTTTTTAAATACATTATTTGTTACGGCAAAGTATAAACATATAAAAACACAGTATTGTGTAATAGAAAGCAAACATTAGACGAAATCGATTATTGTGTCTGAGAATCCATTTTAGAGGATAACTAAAGAATATGCAAAAACTTTGAGAGTCAGAGAATAAGAAGCCGTGTGTTTGGCATCGGGTGTCAAATTAGCATAATTTATATTATTATAAGTTTTCAGAAAGACATTCATTGACTGCAAAGAAATGTATTAAAAGACAAGAACAAAATGAAAATCAATCAAATGCAGAGATCACTTCAATTGTATGCATTGTAATACATATTGTGATCATCTATTCGTGTCACGAAAACATACAAGTCTTCACTCAACGACACAACTCTAATGGATATGAAGTCAGAGAGACTTAAAATCAAAGAATAAATGATTGAATTCTGTATCCAAAAGAAGAGATGGATATAAAGAATAATGTAATTCTCGAATAAAATTGTGATAATAAATTGCTATATTAAATATAGTACTACATTTGGTATTCATATAATTTAATTTAACAAAACAAAGCATAGAATATTGTATTATATTCTGGATTAACATTTTGGACAAATAATATAATATGAAATTATTACTAATTTATGAATATTAATAAATATGTCTTTTATATTATGTTTGAGATTAAATGTTGGCTTGAATTTAAATTTCGTAGATATTTAAAAACAAAATGCTTTTGAAATTAATTAGTCGATCAATAAATTCTCTCTCTCTCTCTCTCTCTCTCTCTCTTTCTTTCTCTATCCATGCATTGCGTGAATAAAATATTTATTGTATTGAAAAACAAGAGCTCATTTCTTCTACTTATGTTTATTATCTTTTCATGCGACCACACATTCACATTGGTCAATTTTTAATGCTCTCTCTCTCTCTCTCTCTCTCTCTCTCTCTCTTGATTATAGGGCGAAATGTGTGAAAAGTGAGAATGAGTTTACGCTACAAAACCTAAATAAATAGCAAAAAAGTGTCTGAAATTCGATTAATTGTAGTCTTAATAATAAAGTCCAGTACTTGTGTTGTATGTGTACTCATGTTTGCCATGAATTAAGATACAGACAATGTGTTTGTGTTGGCATTTGATGCGAGAGTTCAGTCAAAACTCGAGGCAAAAGAGATATTGAATTGCATTTAATACAAGAATGCATTCCTAAAGTGCATTATTTGCAGTTCATATACTTTCTATACAACACTTTCTGTATTCTTGCGGATTAAACACTGAGAAAAAGGGTTTTCTCTACAAATCAGTAACTAATGACCACTTTTTCGTGTCTACTATTCACCAAAAAAGCTGCAAATCTTTTCCCGATATCCACTTCACAACAAATAGACCAAATTCTACATAATATCTATTGATTGCAATTCACAATAATATTATCATCAATTCATTTTTGTACTGAAAATTATTTTTTTGTTTTAACATTTAAATAATTGTAAATAAATGATAAACAATATTGAATAATACAAAACACGAGTTATCATTAGCAATAAAACTACATTTTTATTAATTATTTAATCGATTTGAATAAAACATCAAATTATGTCTTCACAATCCGCACGAATACTCTCTTATTTTACAAAACGGATATTATATACAAATAATAAAACGTTAATTGTTTGTTAATTTCAAAAATATAGCTTAAATTTCAATTATTTATGTAAATATTATAATATTATAGGCTTTTATATTTAAACAGAATTCCCAATTCTTTTTGAAATACAGAATATTCTGTACTGTGTATAGCCTTTCCTGAGGCATAATGAGAGATGAATTAAAACGTCCAAAACATGATAGAAGTTACATATTTTTATTTTCAAACTTTCACATCATTTTTCACATACAATAAATGGATTGCAAAGAATTTCGCAAACATTCAAAATAATCAATTGCAGAGAAGACATCATTTTTCAATATTATATATGAATCGCATATACAATACAAAGTAAATACAAAAGTAAATATAAGAAATCATTTTTCACTCTATTTTGACAATCAGTTGAATATTTAGATAAGCAGTCGAGAAGAGAGTCGACGTATTTCTCTATAAAACACAAATAATCTAATAATCAAATAATTGTTATCCATTACATCGGCTCTTGTTTTTCAATACAATAAATATTTTATTCACGCAATGCATGGATAGAGAAAGAAAGAAAGAAAGAAAGAGAGAGAGAGAGAGAGAGAGCATTAAAAATTGACCAATGTGAATGTGTGGTCCGTACTTTTCTATTATTTGTATTCATCTTCTTTACAACCAAAAAATTTTCGATTTTCGTTAACAAAATTTCTTTACAAACGCTGTTATTTTACTATGTTTTTAGATCTGATTGCGGTTTTATTATTCATTTATATAGACTTCAAGTTTAGTACAGAATATGCACCAAAAGAAATCGATTCACAAATCGATTGAAAATAGTTTATCTAAAGTCGATATAAATTAAGAAATTGATTATTTGATCACTGATTTCAGTGTCAATATTGTGTTGAAATGAATGGTTTTTTGGAAATGAAAACTAACCGATCAGTCGCTAAACGCGGAGCACTTTCTTAATGTTAAAGACATTAATTCAAAAGTGATCCAAAATATGTACTAAAAGTTGGATACAATTCATGTCAAATAACAAAATTCCATACAAATTACATGCTTTAAGATAATCAATATTTTATTGGCAAATCACTAATAATGATATTTTATTGTTTAACTATTAATTCTTATGACTATAACATATAATTATAGCTAGTATTTGAGATTTAGAGTATCATTACTTCTCAATACCCGATCTGTTCATTGAATTGATGTCTCGTAAAACCCAAATCACTCACAATTGTTGGCTAATTCTCTTTCTTTCTTATCATAAGTATTACAAATCAATGTAAATAAAGAAATAATTGCTTCCCATATAATGTATTTATATAAATACAGCAGACGTTTGAATAATATTCTCATTTACTTCAGACATAAGTCTTTTGTAATGAGAAACTCAGGGATTATTGACTATACATGAAGAATAAGAAGATAAATAAAATTTCTTTTATATTAATAATTTCCAAACAATAAAATAGTTTATATAACGAAAGGGAGTCGACAGTCGTGTTGTCAATCGCTTGTGTCTAAACAAATCTATATCAAAAATTCGTGTTCTTATAGTTTTAACACAAGTTAACCAAGTGTAGAAAAACCACCTCTCATTGTCTTTTGTTGTGTAAATAACTAAGTTGCTAACTTGTGTTGAGATAGCGGTTGATATAGGTTGTTCAGAAATTAATGTTCATTTCGGCCATAACTCAAAAACTAATCAAGATAATTTGAATCTGTCTTCAGATTATAATAGCACCTGCCCATGTCCACATCTCACCAAAAATTTATCAGGATTGATTAATATTTAGAGTGTTTATTTTGAAAAAAACTGACAAAAAAATTGTTCAAAAAAGTTATTGAAATAGGAAAACTTTTTTCTCGTTTGATAAAAGTCATAACTGTCTATTTAATAATGATTACACATGATTAGTGATTGACTTACAATTAAAACACTTGTTTGCGACCAATTGTGGATCAAATGTGATGGACGTGTCTTTGGCCACATTTAAATGGCTAAGTATTGCGAGACGACAGCCTCTCTCTCTCTCTCTCTCTCTCTCTCTCTCTCTCTCATTTATTCATTAAATTATTGACTTAATTTTTGTCATTACTTTTTATGGCATTTCCTAATTATTTATTGAGGAAAATAAATTTCTTATAATTAAGTTGTAATTTATTATAATATTTTCATATAATTATTATTATCAAGTAATGGCGTAAAAATGGTTTTTATTATTAGTATTTAGTATTAATATGTAATTAAATGATTGGTCTTAAAATATATCTCAAGACTTGTATAATAAATGGATGTATTGTTTTTTAAAGAGTAAATAATACCCAAAAGTAGATAAGAGATATCATTTCATTCTTTGCTTATTAGTGTGTAATTCTTGCAACAAAAAGGTTTCAATTATTGTGTAAAAATGCTTTTCAAATACATATATCTGAGCAAATATAATACAATATATGATATAAATAATGATAATCTTAAATACAAATCTATTTATTAATTTGTATTATAATTTTGACGATAAGTCCTTCAAAGTCCCACACATTTGATAACTCTTGTCTTAACTCATATCCTCTCCTTTTAAGTAAGAATATTAAAACTCCATATAAAACACTTTGAAATCATTTCCAACTTATTTCGTTTGAGACATGTTTTTGAATATATTTTACATTTTATAGTAAATCACATGTAAATTAAATAAACGATTATTTCCACTGAAAACTACACTTAAAAGTAATTTGAAAATGAGTTTTGTTTACTAATGAGTTAAGACTATCTAATGTCTAATGGATTTATAATTATAATAAGATTTGAAGCCATTATTGATAATGAAGTCATTCATTGCTTGAATACAAAGCATATAATTATAAAATGTTTATCGATTGCACACAATATGCTTTATATAATACAATATACAGTACTTTAAAAATGAAGTTAAAATTCATGAAATATATATTCTACAGATGTTTAGTTCAAAATATAAAACATCATTTTAATGCTTAAAAATATTGACTATTGTTTGCGATTGTGATTATTATTATAATTATGATAAATTGTTTATGAAAAATGAACCATAATGAAATAAGATGAAAATCAATAAAATGTATGAAATGTAAACTAATGTTAAATAAGTCAAAAATGAGTTCATTTTCTAACAATCTTTAGTTAAATAAAGTATTTATCCATGATCAGTTTGTTCTTAATTCAGTATAATTCAGTGTTATATTAAATGTGAATAAAATTTAGAAATAAAACATGTTCAATTTGATGGGTTTTATTGTTTTATAAAACTAATGTTTTGTAAACATGTTGTAAATAGAGTTGAAGTCATTATTCTTTTTTAAACACTATTTTTATTTAACAATAAATTGACGAAAATATTTGTGTTATTTGTGTTATGTATGAATTTATTTGATTTATTAAATAAAATTTATTTATACAAATTGTGTTAACAAACGTACACTTTCTATGGATATGTAGAATGAATGGCAAATATTCTTTGCTTGTTATGCAAATTCTGTGTTTTTGACAAATTCATTTTAATACACATAAACTGTATATCGAAAATATATATAAACTCTTTGAATATTTGTTGTATTTTTATTTGATTGCAATTCTTTGAGTGCAATATTTGGAAATATATTGAAATGATTTATTTTCTGTTTTGTTATATAATAATACAATATTAGGAATGTAAGAGATATAAACATTTTTTAGACATATTTAATGTTTTTAATACAGAATGAATTCTAACCGGTTATATAATCTATGAGCAAATTATACGATTCCGGACTAAATGATAATTATATGAATTTTGTATACTATTATAAAGCATTATTATTTTTCTTATCTATAGTTATAAAATTCTGCCTTATTTTTTAATCTATTTATTATATAATTCACACAAAACATGAAAATTCTGTTTTTATTTTGGTTTCAAATATCTTAAACAAAACATCATTTGTCTCTCATATGATGTAAATTTAAATGACAGTTAAGTCCAAAGGTTTGTTACTTAATAATGGTTGCAATGTTGGCATTATTTGCTACTTTTTGAATGATATTAATATAATTTAACAATAATACTTTGCAATAATGCTTAAGACTTGAGGCTTGAATTGTATGATACATATAGAATAAGGATATCATTACCAAAGAATATTTTTATGAATACATTAAATATAATGTAAATTACTTTTGTGTGAAAACATCACAAATAACAAGACATTTATTAAAACATAATAGATTTTACTTAAATTAGTAATATTTGACTATTACTTAATTTATGTGGTGTTTAACTAATGTGGAAATGTTTAAAGTAGTGTATATTATGTGCTATTAATCATAAATACAATTATATAAAATTAAAATTTTTGTTGCAATATTTAAAAAACAATTTCATTTGATCTGAATTGGAAGCACTGTATGGCAACGGAAAGGCAATACACAGTTATATTGTCTATTTGTGTCAAAAGTAATTTCGGTTCGCATTACAATTTGATGTGATATTCAATAGGCATTCAATTGAATCAATTCATCCAAATATATCACTTTCTGTGCAAAAATTCTCAAATTTTTATATATCAACAAAGACTTTGATTTTGTGAATCGAGAATTGCTTTTGAACCGAAAGGCATCACAAATGAAGTATTTGTTATCATTTGGAAATTCAAGAATACTTTACTCTCTATTTGAGATCAAAAGACATAAAATAATAAATAAGTTTTTACGAAGTCATGAAATCATTGAGTTTTCTTAAACCAATAAAAGTGCCAAATCTATCGTCGCTTCAAAATCTCGTGGTTTGACTTTGAAGTGAACTCAAGAATTGAGCGAAAAATATATATTTTTTGGTTTTTATTAAATTTTGCGAAAATGTTTATATGAAACTCAGTTTACAATTCATTGTTTGCATGTTTTTATGACAGATTTTTAATAAATTACACTAATATATCATAATCTATGCCATCGTTTTTTATTAAAATATAGACTTAAAAATTAATTCTGAAAAATGAATTTACTTTAATCTCATTTAAGCCTTAATACGGCTAAAAACGGTAATATTTTAACACGAATTATAAGATTGAGATGACATGCGAAAGGAAGTGAACACATTATTTATAAGCATAAAAAGGCTCACTATTTTGCGAGCAAATAAAGTACAAGTGAAACAAAGTGTTAGTTGAGGTCATATAATATCAGGTTGTTCAGAAATTAATGTTCATTTCGGCCATAACTCAAAAATAAATCAAGTTAATTTGAATCTGTCTTCAGATTATAATAGCACTAGCCCATGTCCACATCTCACCAAAAAT